TGATGAATGATTTTATGAATCATTATATGAAAATTGTAACGGCATCTTTCATCAGCAGGAAAAACTGAAAGAAATTCTTATTTATAAAATTAACAATAAATTTTTTGATAACTCAATTATTAAAAGAATAATAACGATGAATATATTATTTATATTAATAATAATAAATATTTTTAAGAAATATCTTCTTTTTCTCAAAATCAAAAAAACATTTCTCAACTATATTTTCGTATTAATTTCTATGAATCTCATATATCAATATCTCATATATATATCAATATCTATAATATGGAAAAAATAAGAAAAACTGGCTAGTAACAATAATAATTTTTCTAAGATAAATATTTTTTTAATATTTTAAAATATAAGAATTAGACGAATTCTACTAAAAGAACAATTTTTATCATACTTGCTAAGATTTTACTCATAGAAAAAAATTTATGTTAAAAATTTATATTAAACCTAATACTATCATTATACTTATACTCTAAAATAATATTTAAAAAATATCTTTAATAAATAATTCTTTTTATGTAAAATATATGATAAAACTATATTTGCAATCTTCGAACACCATATTTGAAAACGTAGGAACGTTCTCGACGACGACATCGCCAACGCCGAAACCTCTCAAAATAGCCGCCATTGATTCTCTCTCGCCATTCCAAAGCAAGAACCATTAGATCTAGAATAATCTGTCTATTCGATCTATGATACTTACACACCCGTTATATTATGTTCACAAATCGCTAAAATTGTTATAATTTAAAATCTATTAATAATAATAATAATAATAATATATATATATATATATATATATATATTAGAAGATATGAAGAACATGAACAAAATGCATCTTTGTATTAAAAAAAGCATATTTTTTGCCAGAATGATTTTATTAACCAATCAATGAAACGTTTTATTGTTGAAAACAGAAAAGGATCCATGGCGAGGCAAATAAGTGGTAAGTCACTTTCCCGGCGCGACGGGCGTTTAGCAACAAACACGTTATTTCTGGGTCTTTTACCGAGTCTGTCTGCGCTTCTGAAAAGCCAACGATATCATCCCAATGTATGAGTGAATGTGTTCGCGACGATAAAACTTGCGAAACTTACCGCATGTATACCATATTGATTTCATTTCAGCCCATAAAAGGGAATACGTCGTTATCCTCTTCACCCTCAAAAGGGGCATTTAATGCAATGGGGTGATTTTAATAGCCTGCTGGCTCCTATATACTTCTATGAATATAACCTCTTTCAAGATATGAGTGAAAAACGAATGGGTCTTTCTTAAGTAATACATATTATAAGATCCTTAATTATATATTTGATAAATTAATGTTTTGGTTTTTAAGTATATAACCAACGCCATGTTAATACAATAAGAATATCATTTGAAATTTCTTTTCAGTAATTGAATCATATTCATTTATATTATATTACTGAATTTTCTATATTTTGATCATAAAAGTGAATTCCAAAAATTTGTTTAACATTTTTTCATTATTATTTCTTCTTTCAACTAGATTCTAAAATTATATAAATTTTGAAAAAATTAACCTATCATATTATTATCATAAATTATTTTGATACATTATTAATTTAATTATTTATATCTATTTCGATTCATTCATTACATTGATCAAAGTTAAATAAAATGAAAGTATATGAAAAAAAGAAAGAAATCCATGATCAAATTTTATTTAAATTCTTTTTTTCTTTTTATTTAATTTCTTTTTATATAAATTTTATAATTTTATAATTTTACTAATTAAATGATTTCATTAACTTTATAACAATAGAAAAAAATTTTCAAACTGATGAAAAAATAAATTGTAAAAACAAAAATTTCCAACATTTTAATTGTAAAAATTCTAATCTAAATCTTTTAATCATTTTTATTCAAATAATAATAAAAAATATAATAAGTTCATCATTATAAATTTAATAAATATTTCTTAGTTTATACTGTAATTTTTTTTTACAAGATGATAAAAATAAAACAAAATAATAAAGATATAATAATAACATAATAATAAAGATTGAATGAAAATTCTACGATTGTTTACAAGATGAGTAAATAAATGCTATTAATTGAAATATTGCATTAATCTTTTATTTTTTATTGGCCATGGAGATAATATGAATAACTTATTCCTTTATTTATTTTATTCAAAATAAAAAATAGGACTGAGAAAAGGAGAAAAGAAGAAGAGAGAATAAGAAGAGAAGGAAAGAGAAATGTATAGTATAACTTTTTATATTTGTTTAAATCGATATCGAAAATATCGATTGATCAAATATTTTTAGCTTTTATATATAAAATATAAAAATAAGTTGAAAATTAAAATTTATAGAAATATATATAATATATATTTATAGAAATATTTATAGAAATATAGAAATATATATATATATATATTCTACAAATTTTAATTCTATATATATATATATATATATATATCATTGCAATTTATTCATATTATTATTGTTTTTGTTTTTATTATTTAATTTTATTGTTTTTATAAATTAGTTTTTTTTAAGTATCGGAATTTTAAAGTATATTTTCCTTTTGTATCATTTTGTATTTTATACTTTATATAACAAAATTTTGACATTTTTTATTAATAAGAAAATAATAATATATATGTATATGTATATTTTATGTATAATTTACTCAATAAAATAATCTTAATTATTAAAGGATTATAAAAATGTACATTGTTAATCAAACTTGTTTATATAAACATCGTCGTTTGAATCTGATAATGTTATGAAAAATATAGAAATATCAAAGAAAACACTTAAAATAAAAATTTTTAACGAATAAATACTTTAATATCAATTTAAACATTGAAATAATATACTAAGAAAAAAATCACAATAAAATTAAAAAATTTTCAAAATGCCGATACAGTTTTAACAATTTTGATACTGCCATGAACTACAATAATTGGCTCATTGACAATGCAGAACAGGTGATCTAATACAATGAATAATAAATTTTACAATATGGAAAATTTAAGTTATATGAAATTAAATAATGAGATATTATAAAAGAAAAAATAATTAAGTTAATCCTAAAGTAATTACTTAACATGCAGTTTTAATGATAAAATATATTTAATGCAAGTAAATTATCGAAAAATATCTTATTCATTCTACGCTTACATTCTTTCGCATTTTTATTATATCGCGACATATGTTATCGGATACCGGTAGCCAATAAACACAATTTTTTTACTTCTTTGTCCTCTGAAAATGTCGGCATTGCGACAAGAATAACCGGCAAGCAGAGAAAACTAAATACATGCCGGTGAAACTACGTAGAAATTGGGCCACTCTATAAATAAAGAATTTTTGTATAACATTCAATCGTGCAAGAAAGAACATATATTTTTCGATATTTCGAAATTTAAGACAGATATAATAAATTATAATATTTTAAAAATCATTTTTTGTTTATGATTATCTTACATATTACCTAATAAAATAATAAAAAAAATAATTTTAGAAAAATATCATAAAATCAAATGATTCTTAAATTTACATTCTTATTTGGAAAAAAAAATCATTCGAAAAATTTTTTAACAACAATTATATTCCTATATATAATTCAATTTTAATATATATAAAAAAAAGAAACTCACCCTTGAGAAAGCGGAATGTCGTTCAAAGGAATCCCGTCCCGATCTATTAGTAGGCTCGAAGAAAGACTTGCTATCTTCATCGAATTGTTGTTTAATCTCTTGCAGAAGTTCGTTGCCAGATTTACCACGTAATCTATCGCTGAATTTCGGTCGGTCGCGAAAATAAAAAGACATCGTTGTATATTTGCACAAGAGAATTTCATGCACAATTTAAACGTTGCACTTGTTGCCTTCTAGCCAATAAGATATAGCAAATTTAATTTAAAATAATTTTTCTGGTAACAATCACGAAACGAATTTTCGTATCATCCCCCTACGAAGTGATGCGCGTGACTGAAAGCTCGCGCCGAATCATCGCAAAAATAATCAAAGAACGCGCAAGCGCACATCATTTCGTATAATCGTATCTTTTCGGCGCGAAACGTATGTTTATTGGTCTATTTTCGATTGTTGACCAATCACGAAATCGTCATCGATTTATCTTAAACTATTCAATATTCTTGATAGATATTCCAATGTAAGAATTGGCTTGCTTGAATCTAAATTTAATTGGCAGCTATTTAAATTTTACATATTTTTTTATTTATAATCATCATCGAAATAACTCATGTAATACTTTTGTTTATTGCAATCAACCGTAATGTTATAAAAAATCGTTTCATTTTATATAATAATCGAAAAATAAATAATATAATTATTTTTCTTTATTATTAATTATATTATAAAATAGTTAATAATTTATTATAATTATAATTTTGAATTATAAATACAAATTTGTTTTATTTATAATTTTTTTGTTGCTTTTAATTATAATAATAATATAGATATATAAATGTTACATAAAATTTATTATAAAAAATAATTAAAATATTTTTAAAAATAAATATTTTACATTTTTTAAAAAATTAAAAAATTCAAAATTATTTTTACTTTATATAATCTTTATCAAATAATATTGTTATTTTACATTTATTCGTATATTTGATTTCATTATATTATCATTATCGATATATATTTATTCGCCATTCTCACGTGGATGTTTAAACATTATATCCAATAAATCTCATCATGTAAATTATGATAAATTAATTGTAATTTGTTATGTAACTTATAAAAAGTTTTATAATATCGTAATTGTTACGTTCATATATTATTAAATATTATCGTTTGTAATTCTTTTGATTTTTTTTTTTTATGAGAATTTATATAACCTCATATGTTCAATCTTTGAAAGGTAAATCTCCAAATTCTATTTTTTAAACAATTTTTATATTCAAAAATATTTAAAATATTAATTTTATTAATAGGTACTTAAAAATCTTGTTATATTGCATTGTAAATATATTATTTTTAAATTTTATATATAATTTACGTCATTTATCATTTTTTTATGAAAATATAATTAAAAGAATAAAAAATAAAAAGAATGTCTCTATTATATCAATGCATTATTTGTCAGCATGAACATAATACTATTATTGATTTACATAATCATCATATTCAACATCATAATCTAGAAGAATTATCGCATACTATCATTAGTCTTCAGGGCTATAAAGATTGGAAAAATATAAAATTCAAAAAAAAATATTTAAAATCTATAAATTTAGGAGATAATAATAATAATGAAAATATATGTAATCATCTTTTTATTAAACCTAAACCACAAAATAGAAATATATATAAAGAAAAACAAAAAACAAATTCAGCAAAAAAATTTAGTCATGACAATATAACTTGTTCAATAAATTGTAGTCAATTTATTCCTTGGGAGCGTGAATTAAATAAAAGAAAAGAGATAAATGATGAAGAATTTATTAATATTATTGAAAGTCTTTGTTATGATTTAAGTAAAAGGAAACGTAGAGGAAGGAAGAAAAGAGATAAAACCGCTATAGAAAAAATAAATTCAAAAGATTTAATGCAACATGTGGAAACTATTATAGAAATGGAGAATAAATCTATAGATATTAAATCTGGTCAAACAGCAACAACATCATTTTGGAATACCAAAAATTCAGTCACTAATACTACTATTAATAATGAATTTCTTACATCACAAATTAAAAATAAAATAGAGGACATTAGAAATAATGAGATTACAACATTGGAATTAGTTAATATTAACAAAGATAAAAATGTTTCAAAGCACTATTCATCATGTAATAATATTTCTTGGAATTCTATTATTTCTATGAATGTTAATGAACAAGAAATACTTGTTGAAGAAACTAATGTATATCCTGATTCAGTGGAAATTGACATTAAAAATTTTCTTTAAAAAAAAAAAATTGCATAAGAAATTGCAGCAAATAATATGAAGACTGAATTAAGTACAAAAAAACAATAATTTTTTTTTATATTCTTGAATCTAAATAATTTCTTAAATTATAAAAATTAAATATATTAATTTTAAGATTTGTATTCATATATATAATAAGATAATGAACAAAAAATATTTTATTTTTTTTATTAATAAAAACAATATTTGATATAAATAAGCATAAAAAAATTTATATAATAATTTTAATATGCTTCTTTCTGTTAAATACATAAGTATTTATTCTATTCATTTTATTCTATATTATTTAGATAAAAAAACAATATATGAACATTTTTTTCTATTCTTATTTAAATTCTATAAGAAAAAATTACATTGCAAATTTATCTCTATGTTAAATAAAAAAAAGGAACTTATGATAAAATTTTATTTCAATTATAAAATTATAATTAAAATAAAAATAATGTATAATGTAATTCATAAAATTTTAACTTTACAAGTAATAGAAAAATAAAAAACTGCATACCATGTTCATATAGAAGATTTGAATTATTATTTTGTTCAACGTATAAGGCACGTTATTATATAATTAATAACAGTCCATGGAATTAACATTTTCTTGTTTATACATTGTTAATATATCATCCAACACTGATTCAAAACTGGTAGTATATGTAGTTAACCACCGTTCTTTTTCAGCAATGTAAGCATCAATATCTAAGTTAAAAATAGTTTGAAGAAAAATTTGTCTGGTTATACAGGAAATATATTGAAATGTTTTCTCTTCTGATTTTTGTGTTTTACTGTCAACTTTCATTGAATTTTTATAGATAGAAATAAGTAGATTTGCATCATTAGCATGTACAATCTCTTCGATTATATTACTAGAATTACTAAACATCTCACAATTGGAATCTGCAATGCTGTCTGATGATTCATATTTAACATAACAAGTATCTAATGTGGCACTATCTTTGGGCAGAGGCAACGCTGGTAAAGGCTCATTAAGTTTGTACTTCAAAAGGAATGTTTTTAATTATTTGTTATGTATGCTGATGTTTTGCATACTTCAAAATCACTATCTTCTAGAGTAATTAGAAGAACCTAAAATTTAACATAAAATATAATTATTACTTATATATGAAATATACCATATAAATATACTTACTCCCAAGCAATTTTGTTTCATTAGTTCATCTAATGCTTTATTGAGTCTTCGTTTTATTTCGGTTTCATTCAAAGATACAATTTTCCTATGTTCTTTTGAAAATGTTACTTTCGGAAAATGACCATCAAGTACACCTTGATCAGACAAATGTGATTTTATAACGTGTTTCCAAAATTTAAGAGCGCTTATTTTTACTTCCCAATGAAGATCAAGTACAGCAGCTTTTATCATTGCTAATGTCATAGCATCGATAATACCTTTCCTATAGAATAATCATATCAATATTGATATTTATAGACAGTAAGATCGTATACTTACGACCATTTACGATATATATATAATTCCTTTATTAAAACTACAACTTCTTTTCTGACTATGGCTTCACTTTCATTATTGAACAGTATTATTGCTGTATTCTAAAATAAAACTATATAGTTTTACTTGTAAACATCAATTGAGAATTAAATATTTTTTAATCATACATACAGATAAATCAAATTGCGATAATTTTTCATTCCACAATTTATTTATTCTAACGCTAGTCGAAATAAAAATTAAAGCAGATGCACGAACATAACTTTCACTGTCTGTTTTAGCAATTTCAACTGCTAGTTGCAAAAACTCATTTGCCACTAAAAATTCTTGGAATGCCGGATATTCTGCAAATATTTATACATATTATACATGCATAATTATATTTATAATAATTACTTACTATCTTCTGAAATTACAGCTATTGTATTTAAAACTTCCAATACACTATCTCTTACTTCCCAATTTATATCATGTAATCTTTTAAATAATGTTGGTCCAATCTCATTCATATGACTATCTGTCTCAATTAATAGTACTAAATTAGGTGGCATAAAATTCTGAATTGCCAACTTACATACTTTTAAAGCTTTCACACAAATCTAAAAACAAGATTTTATAATATTTTATGAAACATTTAATGCTATAAATAAAATATACCATAGATGATGCCCCAGAATGATTCAAAAGTTCTTGTGCTAGTGAAAACAAGCATATAGTCTCTACACATTCTTGCCATTTTAATTTAAATTTCTCTGTCATGACTGCTAAACCATTTAAAAGTGAAGATAACAATATAGGATGATCGATTATAGGATCTCCTTCCAAGGGATACTTATATATTGTTTTTCTTGGTCCATTTTCCAAGTCTGTTGCAATATTTTTATTATCTATAGTTTCATTGTGTGTATTTGGCATACAATTTCTTAATACATGACAGAGTGTTTGAAATACAATAACTGCAATATCCTGATATAAGAATATATATACATATATACAATTACATGACTGCAAATAATTTACTCATAATAATTTATAATATAGTTATAAGTAATCTTATTTATACATACCCTATCCATGATATCTGTTATTTCTAAAAGTATATCAATAACTACTTTTGAAACCTGTGCTACAGATACATCATTTTTAAGTACAACATTTCTTATATTATATCCTAATCTTTGTACAGCTGTACACGTTACATCACATAATTTAGTAACAAACATATCAAAAAGATCATAATCTTTATATGAATGTCTAATACATAAACCCAGAGGTAAAATCTATTCACAAAAAAAATTTTTAATTATTTACAATTACAAAAATATAAGAAAAATGATACTTACCATTAAACTTATAACTTGATGTTCAAATTTATGTTCTTGATTAAAAACAAATTTATGTAAAGATTGTAACTTTTTCCAGTATATCATTAATAATTTATTCGTTTTTACTAATTCTATTATATATACTTTTGAAAGAAGCATTAGAGATATATAATTTAAATCACTATAGAATTTTTGTGTTGTTTCAGTATCTATAGTTTTTCCTTCTCTAATGAATCGTTTAAATGGGATAAATAAACACAAAATTAATAGTTTATGAATATGTGATAAAAGTTTTGTACTAATACATGCTTCAAATAGAGCTTTCACTTTCATTTCTAAATCAATAATTTCTTGACACAATTCAGCTATCATATTATCTATGTCTGTAAACAATGTATTTTCAATAATATTGGTTAATAAATCTAATGTAGTACATAATAATTTATTTTGTTCTAAATAATTATCTTGTAGCATTTTATATTCTTGAGTCTTAAAAGTATTAGTTATCAATGGTGCAGCCACTGTTAAAATAATTTCTTTACAAAAATCAATATTTTGTTGTTCATATGATAATAAAAGCCACAAAAACTTGTGACTTTCATGAGTGACATATAAAGTATGATTCCAATGAGCATATTTTACCACATCTTTCCAAACATCTATAAAATATATATTTTAATATTTTAATTATATATATATATATATATACATATATACACATGATAAAAATTATATTACTCACTAGAATCAATAATCCATTGTCTGCCACTTCTATGTTTAATCAAATCCAATAACATTGTGATATAAGCCATTTTAATAGATACTGGCAAATCATCTTTACGTAATTAAAAATAATACATATTCTATTATATACATCTTTAGATTGCCAATAGTGAAAACTTAATTCATTATGTGAAACTATTCCTATTAATTTTAAAGTAAATATAATTATAGGTTGTGAGGGAAGGCATTCAAAATTCCAAATATTTAATGCCTTTAACACCCATTTTTGAAACAATTCACAATTTTCATAATTATTTGTGTCATCTGAAATTTAATAAAATATATAACAAAACATGAATCATATTTAAATAGAATAAAATACAATGTAATGAATTAAAATGAATATAATAAGTATATATAAAAACGAATTTTTTATAATAATTTTATTGTAAATAATAATAATAACATTTGAAATTTTCTTACGTTCTTTAATGTCTTTAGAAATATGAGATAATAGAAGATCCAAATAGGTAGTAGATACGATGTTATAATTAGGTAATAGAAATAATTCTAAAACTTCGGATAATTTTTCATTTTTATGTAACGAAGACATGTTTTCGTATTAAATTTTTATATTTATGCACACAAAATGTTTTTTTACTTTCTTTTCATGTTTTTTATCTGATAATAATTTAAAATATGCATATGATTTTATTACCCATTGCTTTGAACAGCAAATATAATTTCTAACACCCGCATATTTTCTACGTTTTATAATTCACAAATCGGGTGTGTAAATAAAAACTTGAATCCTTAAATGTTCTATAGATAACCAATACTTGTATGAATTAGAATAAAGTACCATTTTCAACAAACTTAAAAAGATAATCAGTTCTTTTTTAGCGGCTTTTTTTAAGCGAATAGTAATACATATATCTTTAATTTATTACAAAATAATATTATATTTTAAATAAATTAGATACAGGTTTTAATTTATTTATCTTTTTATATTATATTTCTTTTTTTTAATATTATAATATTTTTTTTATTCTGAATGTTTCATTTAAAAATAATAACTATAATAACCACAATAAAAAAATTCTTATATTGAATGAATTTTTGGTAATAATAAATTTTTATTTTATTATTTACATGTTTAATGTTTTTTATATAATTTTTTTATATAAATTTTTATAACAAAATAAATTATTAAGACACCTTAAAATATTTATATATTAAATATTTTATACTTAATATGCTATATATGCATAAGAAACTCGAGGTTGACAACCTTTAATGTTAGAAATTTCAATTTAGTAACATATTTATCTATTTGCGAGATATATTTATTTATCATTTCTGTGCAATGAAAATATATTTATAGTATAAATAAAGAATATTGTGTTACATTAATAGTGGTGATGAAACATAAAAATTTAATAGAATTTTTACTAAATTTATTCTAACAATAAATGTATTTAATTAAATTATATATATCATCTTAAAGAAATTATAAATTTGTATTTTTATTATAATATAGTATATGTTTATTAATTTATAGTAAAAAAATATTATTCATAAGTCAACTTATCAAAACTATTATTCATAATTATAATTTTTTATTTATTAAAATCATCGAATATTTTTCTTATTTTTAAAATCTAATTTTTTTTATATTATGTTTATCTAAAATACAAAATATAATTTTGATTAATTATTGTATTGTCATATTTAAGTTATTATAATAATCTCTGCTTATCTTTCATTTTACATTTATGAGTTTTATCTTCATACAATGGATCATGAATCATTTATTTTTTTATATCATTTAATTTTAAATTTTAGTAATTAATATATATATATTTAAAAGTTTCTAATTTTATTATGATATTAATAAATATTTATTTATGATTTATATATATTTTATATTTATAAGTTTTATTTATAAATTAATATATATATATAGCTTTTTGAAATATAAATTAATTTATATTATATCTATTACATTAAAATAAATTTTTTTAATGTTTTTGTTAAAATATTAGATTTAATATATAAAAAAATGTTAAATGTAATCAGAATTATAAAAGCATTTAATCATTTAATAAGAATAGAAAGAATATTTTGTTATTAAAAATCTATCACATTGTTTCATTTTTGTTTAATTAGTAATTTCAAATATAAATTTAATTTTATTTATATTCATTCATATTTATTTCTAATTTACTAATATAATTTTAATATAATTATTCTTTATATATTTATTTTGTTTCTAGAATTTTGTAAATATTAAAAAATGGCATGGACGCATTATCAATATATTCTAGCTGTGCTTATGGTTGTTACTGGATCTTTCAATACAATATCCGTAAAGTAAATAAATTAATGTATTTATTATATTATCAAACTATATTTAATTACATTTATTTTTAATTTAGATATGCAGATGAACAGATTGTACCAGGTGAAGATAATCAGCCAAGACATTTTAATCATCCTTTTATGCAGTCAGCTTTTATGTTTATTGGAGAAATGATGTGTTTTGTAGTATTTAAAATACTTTATTATTATTACAGTCGCAGAGGTGTAAGTTTTTTTATTAAATATATATGTATTTAAAAATAGATAATATTTAAAATTAAATTTATTATATTAAAGGACAATTCTGTGGATAATAATCCTTTAACCAAAGGTTCACATATATTTAACCCTTTTATTCTATTGATTCCTGCCTTATGTGATACATGTGCTACCTCTATTATGTATATTGGATTGACTATGACATATGCAAGTAGTTTTCAAATGCTTCGTGGTGCTGCAATTATATTTACAGCTATACTCTCAATGGGTTTTCTTAACAGAAAACTAGGTAGTAGAGAATGGATTGGTATAATAATGGTTATAATTGGTTTAGCTCTTGTTGGACTCAGTGATATAACTATGGAAAAATCATACATTAGCACAAATTCTATTTTAACTGGTGATTTACTTATCATATGTGCTCAGGTAATATTACATATTTTCTTATTTTATAATGAAATAAATATTCTACTTTGAAAATTAAATATTTTCATAGGTCATAACTGCTGCTCAAATGGTGATAGAAGAGAAATTTGTAACAGGACAAAATATACCAGCATTACAAGCAGTTGGATGGGAAGGTACTTTGTATTATTTATGAAATACAAAAATTTAACAATAAATATAATATATAAATGTACATTCTAACAAAAATATATCTTGTTTAGGTATATTTGGATTCATTACTATATGTATTATAATGATTCCTTTTAACTTTATACATGTTCCACCACCATTTGCTGACAATTCTCAAGGAACTCTTGAAGCTACTCAAGATGCATTTATTCAGATTAAAAATAGCGGTCATTTATTGATGGCAATATGTGGTTAGTATATATGTTATCTTTATTTATTGCAAATTTATTCTTTAAGTAATTTTTAGGTATGTCATTCAGTATAGCTTTTTTTAACTTTGCTGGTATTAGTGTTACTAAAGAAATAAGTGCTACTACAAGAATGATTTTAGATAGTATTCGAACAGTTATCATATGGGTTATTTCTTTAACATTTAAATGGCAAACTTTTCATTATTTACAGGTAAATAGTATTATATATTAATTGATTTTTATATTTTTTAAACTTTTTTTGTTAATAATGAAACTTTAGTATTTAGTATTGAATTTTTTAAATTACAAGTGAATGTGTGTTTATTTAATTTTCAGCTTATTGGTTTCACTATTTTGCTCATTGGAATGTGTTCTTATAACAACGTTGTTATTCCTCAATTAATAAGAAAATGTGGATATCGTCTAGGTCGTCATAGACCGCCAGCAAATGATCGTGAACGCATTATTAATACAGCAGCAGATGACATTCCTGAAACTCAATAATATTTACTTTTAAATATTTAGATACTCATTATTTTATATTATTGAAAATTATTTAGTTTTTCTAACAAAGTAAAAACTATAATCTTATTAACTTATAATTAATTTTTTCCGTTATTTCATTTGTAAAAGTGATTACTATATTTAATAGAATTAATAATTTTATAAAGTTAATGAAAGTAAATAGTAAATATATTTTTAAAATATAATAGACAAGACCCATCAATGGAAGTGGAGAACCATTCAATATATAAATATATTAAACAAATATGATAAAATTTATATAATTATTTTTTTTAAATTTTTTGAAATAATGTTCTACATCAGAGTATATAGATTAGATTTATTTATATAAATCATTTCTATTTATTTATATAAGAATGAAGAGAGATTAAAAAGTAAAAGAGAATAAATCTGTTCAAATTAATGTATATGAATAAATGTAACTTTTGATTGAAAGCTTTAATTTTTTTGTTTATAAAAAATTAATTGCAAAATATAATAAATTCCAATTTTTACAAAAAAGTATTCCAATATATCCAAGTTTTTTGAAAATTATTTTGAATTGCATATCTTTATTAAAATTTATAAATATATATATAATATATATATATGTATATATATTTGAATTATGATTAATTATAATTATAATATAAAAATATTTTTCAGTTATTGGAATTGTTTCAATTGATCTTTATTGTAAAAATTATTAATAAAAAATCTCAAAGTTCTTATGAATGCTATTGAATGAAATGAAGATATTTTGTAACTAAATATGTAAATATATTTTTTATCATAAAACAAATATATTAAGATATGTTAACATAAAAAAAAATATTAAATTATTTTTTCGTAAAATAATTTTATTATTATATTTCATAATATTTTATAATATTTTAAAAGAATCGAAGAGTAATTTTTCCTTTCTAACTAAATAACTTTTTTTTTATTTTATATATTTTACTTCTTTAAAGACCAATATATGTAACAAATATATATTAATAATCATTTTTTATTTTATATTTTATTGTATAATATTGTACAATTAACAAAAATTAAACTGTAAGATAGTAAAAGAGAAGAATGGTATTTAAATATTACATAAATTTATTATTGCCTACACTTTACATGTAGTTAATTTGTGCAAAAAAAAGTATTAATATACATATAATATGAGTATAGAGCACATATATCTATATATATATATATATGTGTCACATATACACGTATATTCATATGCATGTATATATTACAAAATTCTTTAAATAACAGTATTGAAATTTCAGAAATTAGAAAAGATTATATTTTGTGCAATTTTGCAAAAATTATAACTATGAGATATATTATATATACTGCAAATATATTGATTATAAATATTTTCAATTTATATTCCACTTTCTGATCAAATTACAAATGCTTTATGGAATGTTTAAGAATAATTTTTACATATTCATTTAGCATAAATTATTATCATCTTAATTTTACAATGTTTTTATCCAATATAATTTCGACCAGCGATAAGAAATTAAATCTATCTAATCTATGATTGTTTTCATTTATGTACTGATATTATAGTAACATTAATGTCAAATTATACATACATAATATTTTTTTCTAATAATTTTTCATAACTATGAGCAAAACATATATATGATATAATCATCAAAACTATTTAAATTTTTTAAATGAAAATGTAATATTTATTATGCATTCATGCGAGAAACGACGTAAATAGAACATGAGTTTAATTATATTGTTCCGGCAATACATAAGAAATATCATCCCAAGGATGTCGGTATAAACCTTGTTTCAATCGTTTTTGATCCATATAATGACCTGAAGTAATAAAATAATTTTTTGTTAAATTATTACATTTTTTTAAAAATTATTGTATTAAACAAAATATAAGTACCTACCAATAAAACCTATACTCCTACCAAGAACAAATAAACTATTTATAGCACCAATTTCTATATATTCCTGTGCTTCCTCTCTTGTGAAACTTCCACTGTTTCTTAACATATCAACAAAAGCACAAGCAATTATACCATCCACATTTAAAATTAAATTAGGTTTTTTACTTGTGGTTATTTTTTCAACTTCTAATGCATATTCTACCAATGGTCTTGCAGGGAAATTCTCCATTACATATTCTTTAATAAGTTTCACTCGCATATCTGGATTGTTTATAGATTTTATACGATGTCCAATACCCATTATAAGTTTACCCTTTTTACGTGTATTATTTACAAATTCTTGTGGATGTAATCCAGCATCATAAGCTTCTGAGAACATACGAGCTGCACCATCCAATGCTCCACCGAAACGATCACCCTATTATTAAAATTTTTGTGAAATTAATGTTCTTTGTAAATATATGTATACATATGTATAAAATTAAATGATATGGTAAAAAATATCGTTACTCACAATAGTTAAAAGTCCAGATACTAGAGAACTAACTAAATCTTTACCAGCTCTTGCACAAACAATAGTATTATGTGCTCCTGACACAGCAGGTCCATGATCAGCCGTTAACATTAAAGACATTTCAAGAAATTTACAATATATTGGTGGTAAGCATCGTTGGAACCATAATAATGAAACTACGCCACCGATTCCTACATTTTGTTTAAGAACTTCTGTAACAGGCATTCCAGCGTATAATAATTCTTGACCACGTTCATCGCATATCGATGTCATAAATGATGCTGGTTTTCGTATCAAACCAAGTTCCTAGAAAAATTAGTTTTTTATGATAAATGAATACACAAATCGTGTATTTAATAATATAATAAATATACCCTAGCCCAATTATAATCCATGGGAACAGTTGGAGGTGGAACTTCTGGTTCAGGCACTATTGTTCCATTTTTAACGAGATTACTATAAACAGTCTGCATTAAGTCACCTAGATTATCAAAACTATCAGGAACATAAGCGCCAGCTTCTTTTAATGCGATATTTTTGGCAGAAGCTGTTTCTAAATTAGTGTGAGCAATAGATCCAGCATGACCAAATTGTACTTCAGAATTGAACATGCTAGCACAAGTACCAATACACCAAGCAATTAATGGTTTCATAATTTTTTTGTTTTTAGTGCTTGACAGACTTCATATTCTTCTACACCACCAACTTCACCAAGAAGAACTATAAGCTTTACTTCTGGATTTTCTTGATAACGCATAATGTGATTCATAAATGTTGTTCCTGGATAACGATCTCCACCAATTGCAACACCTTCTAATACTCCATTAGTTGCTTTGGAAATTATATTATTTAATTCATTCGACATGCCTCCAGAACGAGATACATATGCGACACTAAAAATATTAATATTTTATATTTTAATATAAGAAGTTAATATTAATTAACAGCATTATTAAAAAAGCAGAATTTTATATTGAATAGAATTGAACAATAGAATAATAAATATACCTGCCAGGCCTATAAAGTTTACTGTGAAGAATATTATCCATCATTCCACCAGTATTACCAATCTTAAAACAACCTGGTTTAACTCCTCCAACAGTAGCTGGACCGATAATTGTAATACCTTTTTGTTGAGCCATTAAAATTAATTTTCTCGTCATATTTTCGGGTATTCCCTCAGCAATAATAGCAATTGTTCGGATTTGAGGAAATTGCATAGTTTCTACTGCACTATCATATGCAGATCTTAAAGATGCAAATGTAACCATAACATCTGCATCTGTATGTTTAGTCATGGCATCTCTCATTTGTTTATAAACAGGAATAAGAACCTATTATATTAAAAAAACAAAAATTAAAAAATTTGAATTATATTTTCAATAAACTTTATTGAATTAAATAATTTTTTAAATTATTAATAATAAGTTAATTATACCTCCTTATGACCCCAGTAAAATTTTTGTTTATGGTCACCCGTGAAAGGATATACAATAGCAGCTACGGATGGTTCGGATCTACGACAGACGAAGTCGAAGTCTAACATACTCTGAACGGCTCTAGTTTGCATTCCCCAGATAATGGCCCTGGTTTTACTACTGAAAAGCTGTTTATGCGTTGATGCATCAACAGATTCGTTCGCTTTTAGTTTGGATTGTTTGGTAGGCGAAGAAGAAGTACTTTTAGAAGGAGCTGAAGGACCCATGTCTTGTCCCGATGGTAATAAAAAGTTTGCAGTTGAAAATTCCTGTGCTTCAGGATCTGGAATTGGCTTTTTACCTAACGCCATCGCACAAATAGCTGTCATATGAGTTTCTGGACCGAATACGTGAACAGGAATACCAAGTCTTCTACCAACTTCACGTATAATTCTAAAATTCGAAAAATATACAGATCATTTATAAAATATTTTTTAAATAATACATAAAATTATATTATTTAAATGTATTTATACCTTAAACCTTCTTGATAATTAGGTCCAGCTCTTCTTACAAATATTTGTATGTTATGATCCACAAGTTTAGGTTGATATTCTTGTAGTGCCTTTACAATTCCTTTAAATGTCGCAGCTACATTTGTAAAGTTAGCAATACCACCACCAATAATCAATACTTTTCCTTCTTTTCGTTTTTCTTTCGTCATCAAACTTAGAATGGTTTTTGCATATTCATATGTTTGCTGTTCACTGGGTGCACCTGAATATTCTCCATAATTAGCTAACTCATTCGCAGCACCCAAATCGCAAATCGTATCCGAGTAAATTACAGATGCACCTAAAAAGAAAAAGATTAAAAAATGAGAAAAGGAAAACGAATGCAATAAACAAATGATTTGACAATCACAGTTTTTTTTTTTTTAGTTAATGAACTTGATTAATCATAAATGATACTGCTGTGATTTTACTGACCACCACCAGCAACCATGGTCCATATTCGACCAGCTGGATTAAGAATAGTCAATTTCAAACTAGCTCCAGACTTAGCATCTAAGTCGGCGATATAAGCTTCTTCCGGATAGGCATCCCTTCCAAATGGTGGTGGATAATCGATCTCGCCCCAGTCCGGTCTACATATAAAATCCGCAGTCGTATCCAGCTTTGCAGCAAGATCAAGTATATAAATTCTATTTTCTGTTATTACCAATGGATTTATTTCTAAATAAGTGAAATATAATGTAACATAAAGCTTATAAAGAGATTCTATAAAATTTCCAATTATTCTGAAAAAAAAAAAGAAATAATATTACAAATAAATATATATAAAATACAAAAATAATATCTTAATATATTCTTACTCTTTTTTGTCATCTGTCACATTTATTAATAATTTTTCGATTATTGTAGATCGATTTGGTGCTTCTTCTCCTACAGCTATATCTAACTTTAAAGCTTTTGCATCAACATCTCCAATATCAACACCACCTTCATGATGAAATAAAATAGTATCAGCTTTTCGATGGGAAAATATACAAACATAAGCTTCTTCTTCCTATAAATAAATATTATTAATATCATTTTTTTATTAAATTTACTTTATAAGAATAATAACTATTTACTTGTTTATGAGGAATAAAAGGCTCAATAATGAAACTTCTCAATTTTCCAGTTGTTTTCCCCACTTGTAGATTTTTGTTCATTCTTTCTGCAATCCATTGTTTCACTGTAGCCAAATCAGCATTTACTTTAATTAGACCAAGTTTTCCTCGTCGTTTGATCAATTGATCAGGTTTTACAACCAATCTTTCTGTTTGAAGCCATGGATGGTCATTTACAATATCTGTCCAATTTACTTCTTCTGTGATAGTCACAAATCGACATTTTATTACATTTGTACCAGAAGAAAGTTTGCGATTAATGAGATCTTTTCCAGTTGCTTCATAAATTGCTTTTGCTGACATTTTTTAATAATTCCTACAAATAAATATATAATATGTTATATTACAGTCAATATTATTTTTCACTATTAAAAATATATCTAATATTCACTATTAAATTTTTACTTTAAATAATTTTAAATTTTTAATAAAAAATAAAAATAAAAATTTTTAAATAAGTAATTAATTTCAGACAAATTATAACATATATATATATATTAAAACATTTGAGAAAAATATGACTGAGAAAAATCAAGGACAGCTTTAAAAAAAAATAAAATTGAAATGAACATTTGTAAGAAAAAATCATATAATTGCATTCCAATGTTAGTGAATAGAAAGAATTGATAATATAAATAATTTTAATCAATTATATAACAATTATATTTTTTTAATATAAAAATGTATAAAATTTACAAAAATGATATATAATTTATAAAATTTATAAAAATTATATAATTATTCGCAATATATTCATATGTATAAAATATAAAAAAAAATTTGCAAAATATAATGAACAAAAAATTATTAGTTTATCAAGAGTAAATGCAAATAAATATCATATCGTATATTCATAGATATACATATTTAATATAAAAAGAAATATGTTTTAAATTCAAGAAATTATTGAGTGGATTGTAATATAAGCAAATCAAGCAATTATAAAGATCGGGAACTAATAAAAAAATTATAATTTAAAATGATATTCATGAGAATGAAATTCGTAAAACATTCAATTGCGTATATCTAATCAAAGCATCACTTTATCACAAAACTTTATCCATTAATGTTTAAACGATTTTTCTTCGAGAAAGAAAATATAAGAGAAACTTGAACCGACACTTTCACTTTGACACTTACAACTGTATGGCAATCTCGTCATCGCGTTTAATTTTTTTATTTTTTACACTATTAATATCTATACTATACAAATTTATAAAATATTTTTAATAATAAAATTAAATAAAGTAAAATTTTAATTAATTAATTGATTAATTGATTTGAATAAATAATTTTTTGAATCACAGTGTAATAAAATACAAAACTATAAATAAATCTACACTTTATAAAAACTCACTTTATAAAAAAAATATTCAATATTCGTTTAATAAATATTATATAAATTAAATCTTTTTTTACTAATTTTTTCAATTAATGAAATATAATCCAAAATGAAGAAACATCCGCCCGACAAAATCGCTGGCGGTCAACTGAATGTTTTAAGAGATATTGCGCATATAAATAATATCAGAACTTGACGATATACGATTGTATCTTAAGATATACGATTTTACCACTTTTTTTTTTAAGTCATACTTAACTATATTCTAAAACTTGAAGATTATAATATAAGAATAAAAAGCATAGAGTTTCTCTAATATTATATAATCATAGTGATAAACTTTTTCATCTTTTTTATTTAAAATTAAATTTATTCAATTTTTCAGATTGAACAAAAAATTAATATATGTAATTTATTTAAAACTTTAGAATGTGAAATAAGTTTTACATATTATAAGTATTAATATATAATATTTTTAATTTTAATTTCTATAATTTTTTTTCAATTTTCATTAATCTTTTTTCTTTTATAATATTTATTTATATTTGAACATGTTATACATATATGAAAATCATATATTATATTCATATCTAGTTGTTATAAAAATTTGTTAACATATATAATAAAATATTCAATAAGACGTTGAAAATATTCAATTTCAACTTATACTTCTATTTAAATTATAATATCCAAGTTTCAAGAATCATGCGAGAATTAATTATTCATCACGTGACGTGTAACATGATCAGGACCACGTGAACAGATAACAAAGGTTTTTAAACTCTTAATTATGCAATTTACGTACGATTTTATCGTTCAAAAAATGACTATATTTGAAAAAATTTGAATTTGAATAATAAATCTATAAAAGAAATTAAATATAATATATAAATATAAACATTAATAAATTATAATATAACAATATTTTTTATCAACGACTCTCATTTATTAAATTTATATATTGATTATAATATATTATTTAGTAAATTTTAAATAACTTTATTATTAGTTAATAAAATTAAATTAATTAATAAAAATAAGGGCAATAAAAAAGTCAATAACAAAAAGCAAATTGTTTTAATTTCATTAAATACAATTAATAAGAAAATTTTTTAATCATAAATTTCTTTTAAAAATATCAAACTTCTAATGTTCATTATTATATAATTATAAATTAATAAACTATATTAATTATTTATAAAAATAAAATACTTTTATTTCATAATATTTTATCTTTTTTATTTGATAAATATCTTTATTCTTATTTAAAAAATTTAATAGGATAATAAAACTTTTATAATTTATTTGCAAATATGAAAAATAGATTAGAAAATAAAAATTAATAATAGTTTCATGATCATTTTCATATAATGAGCTATATTGCAATCTTGATAATTTTTAATATCTTTGTAGTGAAGATTTAAAAATAAATAATAATTTAAAAAAAAACAAAATTAAAAAATACAAAAATTAATATAAAATATTTTTATTATAACTATGTTGAAATTTAATAAAATTTAATAAAATAATTATCAATTCGTTATATTTCTAAATTTATTGTTTGGTTTCTTTAATAAATTTATCTTTTTTTAAAATATGATATAGATTATTGTAATACAAATTTATAGGATTTCCTCGTTATCACATATTATATATATAATAATAAACTATAAAATTATTATATATATATTTTATTTTTAAAATAATAATCTTGGAAAAAGAAGAAAAACTGATCTCTTAGAAAAAGAAAAAGATGGAAGAAATAGCACTTAAAATCTTCGAAAAATTATATTAATATTTAACTGAAATATAAATTGCAGTACAAATTAATATCGTTTTAAATTTAATTTTATTAATTTTATATTAAAGTTAACTATTTTATCTTTAAAATTATCTGAAGGTTATGTATTTTATTAAGGAGATGTCTTTTATGATAAAATTTACATTATTAAACCGATATATATTTACAAAAGAGAATTAAAGATTAATTTCACTATTTTTAATTATGTTAATTGAATAATGAAATATTCTAATTCTATAATTATTAAATCTTTAAATTTATATTAAAAATATTTTCTTTAAAAGCTTTCAAATAAGGTTAGTTTATCATTATAAAAAGCGATTTAAAATTTATGTGAATATAAAAAAATATTACTTACAATTTATAATTTATACGCACAGATTTAATAATGTCGGATATTTTAACGAGCTTCACTATTTGAAAGACTGATGAAAGACGTGTACTTAAAACACAGCTTATGAAAAAAACTACTTTACATCGTTAACATCGTCGACATTATCGGTGTGAACTATGGTTCAAAGTTATTGACGCATTTTCATGATTTAAATTGTCTCGTTTTTATTTGTACAAATTATCATTTTGATTAATCAATACAATAGAAATTTTATTTTGTAAATAGTTTATAATGAAAAATGTTATTAATATTATATCAATATGATATTAATATCAATATAATAATTATAAACATTACCGGATCATCATGACGTATTGTGACGTAGAGATACGTCATATCGTATGATTCTTATAACCGTTACTTATTTGCATGTAAAGTTTAGATAGCAAATATTAGGATTAAATTTAACATACAATAATTTGTTGCATAAATTTTTAAAAATTCTAGTAAAAAATACAAAATATTAAAATATTTAAATTTATTAGAATAATATATAACAACAAATCTATATATATATATATAAAATATTTATTTCAATCGAGTATTAAAAAAATTTCATCTAATATATTAATAATTTAAAAAAAAATAAATAATGTTATTACAGATCTATATAATTATAAAAATTCTTATAATAGGCGATTTATTATAATATTATAATATTATTTCGTAACATTTAATTTAGAAATTTATTATTTAATCATATATATATAGATAATATTTCAAAAATATGAAAACATCGATTAATTGAAGATTTTTTGAAATAATTTCAAGAAACATGTTTCTTTACAAAAACTTTTGTTACAATTTTGTTAAGGAGTTATTAATAAAAATTAATAGCCAATCGTGAAGCACGTAGAGTCAAGCCGCGATGATAGTGTTAGATCCATATCGTTAATTGAATACAAATAAATCCAAGCAATATATTCGAAGAAAATCTATTAAATATCACAAATATTTTTTTATCGAAAAAAAAATTATGTTGAATTATTAAGGAACAATGAATAAACTAATTAATTGTTATTCATATAGAATTCTATTTTTTCTTTTGTCGAAGTAGAGATTTTCATTTCTTTTTTTTATCATTTTTCTTTGCATCTCTTTTATTTTCATCTTCCCTATTATTTCTTTATTTATCCTTTTCTTAATTATCATAATACCAAAGAAAAGGCAAAATTAATAAAAAAAAGGAAGAAAGAATCGATAAAGGGAGGAGAAAGAATTGATGAAAAAAGGAAGTGGAGAAATTGATAGAGAATGTAAAAAGGAATTGATAAAAGAAGAAGAAAAATTAGAAGAAAGGAAGAAAAAAAGAAGAATAAAGGAAGAAAACGGATTTAATAAGGAAAAAGAAAAGAAAAGACAAAAGAAAAAATGACAGAGAATGATAAAGAAGCGAGAATAAGGATGATAAAAGAATGTAATAAGAATGAATAGAGTGAGGATGAAGGAAGTAAAAGGATAAGAACAAAAGAAAGGATAGAATAATAAAATAATAATAAAAGAAAAAGTAGAATGACAAGAAAAGAAAATCATAAGATTGAAGAGACAGAATAAGAATGATAAAAGAAGAGGAGAGGAGGATAAAGTTTACAAAAGAGGAAGATGATAGAGAAGTAGAATAATAAATAATTAATTTATTCATTGTTCTTAAATAAGTAATTCAATATAATTTTTTTTCAATAAAAAAGTATTTGTTATATTTAAGATTTTCTTTGAAGATATTGTTTGGACTTATTCATATTTAATTGGTGGCATGTATCTAATATGTTAATATGGCTTAATTAATTTACAAATTTTATGACCAATATTTTTTGTATATTCCTTAACAAACTTCTTAACAAAGTAATGAAAATTTTTGTAAAAGAAAGTGTTGCATATTATTTTACGTAATTCAGGAAAAATGAAAATATTCAACATAATTAGATATCCGAAATTTTTCAAAAAATTCAGGATTAACTAGTTTTATTAAAAACTAATTTTATTAAAATATCATAATATTAATTTTAAATAAAAATAATATAATTGTTCAGATATTGATAGTAATATAGATATAAATTATTTTTTAAAAATTATAGTATTTACATATTTAAAATGTATATAAATCTTATATTTTAAAAATTTTTACTTTCATATTTTATAAATTTCTTATTTTTCTTTTTAAGTATGAAACATTTCAAACAAAATGATATGTTGAAATAATGCAATGTTTGCAGTTGTTTTGTTTAAAATTTTCATTTTGTTATTATTATTTTATATATTATCACACTTTTTAAAGATTATAAACATTTTGAATTATTATATATATATAATATATATATAATAATATATAAAATTATCTATACATAAATGTTTAAATAAATATTGAAATGAAAATGTTTTTTATATAATCATACTTTGTTTTCTAATTTTGAGATAATATCATGTACCTTTTCTATAACACTGTATATATAAGGACGTTCCATAGGATTTACTTTTAACATCAATAAAATCAAATTTTGTATATCCTATAAAATAAATAATGATTAAACATTAAATTTTTTGAACTATAAATTCAAATATATATTTTCGATATATATTCAATGATGAAAAAATGCATTAAAAAATCCATATTAAAAATATTAAGCATTATTAATTATAATTATACCTCAGTATATGGAGCATCTTCTGGAAAAATAATATTTGCACTCATTACAGCTAAAGCAACACTGTCTCCTCTTTCATATACTGTATCAAATGGTGATTTAAAATAACACAGTGCATAAAGAATACATCCTAAAGACTAAAGAAATATATATAATTTTAATAATTTTAATAAGATATAATTATTATAATATTAACAAGAAATTAATTTTACCCAAATATCTGTTCGTTCATCTACCATACAATAACTTTCAACATTAAATAATTCTGGTGCTCTATATGGCATTGAACATCTTTCAGCTGCTAAATCCTGTAAAGTTTGTGCTGCTTGTGAACCACATATTTTAATTCTAGCTGGTGCTACAGAACCTATAAATTCAATTTTCATTTAATTAATATTAATTAAATATTATTTATTTCTTATGTTAATATATATTATACCTAAATCCATTATAATGGGTATACTTCCATCATCAAGAAGTATATTTGCAGTCTTTAAATCTCTATGAGCAAGAGGTTCTGGTTTAGCTTCATGAAATGCTTTTACACCTTCACATATTTGTAAAAAAATATTTAAAATATCTAGGGCACCCATATGATTCTTATTTTTAGCACGTCTCTCTAATTCATTGGCAAGTGTACCTCTCTAGAATGATACAAAATTTTATTGTTATATTTATATTTTGTTTCATTGAAATTTATAAACACATTACTAAAGAAATATAATTTACATGATAATATGGTAAAATAATCAATACTTCACTAGTTGCGTTAATAATAGGATCTATTGTCCCTTTATATGTAGAATCAATACATTCTATAACATTTGGATGTTTTACAAGATTATAATATTCTATTTCTTTTGCTGCTAATCTCTGATCTTCTAATCCATGACAAATTATCTTTTTAATAGCATATTTCTTATGAGTTATTGTATCTTCCACTAGAAGGACAATGCTAAATCCACTAAATTGCATTAAAATTAAATTTAATAAATATTTCATTGATTTATACATAAATTTAAATATAACTTATAATAACAATAAAAAATAATTATCGATTTCAATATGTATAGAATAGGTTAAATTAATAATAAGATTATAACAAAATTTATGCCTACATTAATGAGATCGGATATAGTACAATAATATATGAAAAAAAACATTTATATAAAATTAAGATGATGAAAAACTTTTTAAAATAATTTAATTTTATATAATTTTATTTTATTATTTGTTAAACTTGCCCTTCTCCAAGATGTTCACGAACTGTATAATTTCTTGAATTTACTGTAATTGTTTCCTTGGAGCATATGCAGCCCATTTTTAGAATTAAACTTAAACCAAGACTATTCATTTTTAATTAAGCATAATAAAAAAATATAATAATCCACCTGATGTGTTTTTATTCATTCACAAACATCTTGAATCTTGATACACGTCATATGCGTTACCATTGAGACTAATCTGCAGTTTAAGTAATCGTCAGTTGTTTACAAATAATTTTAAAATATATTTTTTAAATTTATAGAGTAATAGAGTAATAAATTCATAAATTGATTCATAAAAAATTTACAAATGAAAGAGTGATGTAAATTTTACAATATTATATTATTTAAAATTACTTTCACATATAAGTTTAATAAAAAAATTGTAAAGTGCAATTAATCTTTCTATTATAGAAAACAATTCGAAATGAGCAAATTGTATTCATAATTTTCAATATGGTTAATGGAGAAGAAATTAAAATTGCTTTCAAAGTAATTTTTTGTCTTTTTTGATGGATAAATTTTATAAAAAATTTATGAAATTTTAATATTTTACTAGATAATTAATTTAAAAAAGTTTATATATACATTTAAAATTCAATATTAAAATAATGTCTTTTTTAATTGTTTATATTATTAGGTAGTATATGCTTTATTATGGATATTTTTTACAAGTTATTATTTTTGGGGTGCAAATGAAGTAACTGTAACAGCTCCTATTGATGAATCTGGTTGGGTATCAGATGGAGCATTTGCAAGCACAATTCCTCGAGCTGAACAAGTAGAAGAAAGTTAATATTATAAAACTAAAATAAAATACTATAAAGTTAATATTATATTATAAACATTATATAAAAAAATTATAACTATTAAATTTTAATTATTTATTTTTGATATAATAAATGATATTATACAATTATAATAGTTGATTAAAAACTTTTATTTAGAATTAAATATAGAATTTATAAATCAAATAACATAGACATTAATTTATACTTTATTATCTTTAAAAGTAAAATTTTTTTTATTTTATTTCATAGGAACACTTATCTAAAATATACATTACATCATTTTATCAATAATATATTATTAATTATATTATTATATTATTAATAATATTCGTTTTTTTATCAATAATAAATATATATCATATAATAAATTCTATTCTATCACATTCTTTGTATAAATTTAAAATAGATGAAATGATGAAAGACTGAATTGAAATGATTATTCAAATTTATAATAATATTTTAATAAATTATTCATTGTAAATGATTTTAATTACAAATAACTTCATTCATAAACAGGTACATGTATATTTTAAATCAATAAATTTAACAAATGAGTCATGTAATTAAGATTTTGTTGCTTCATTTTCTTGAACATCATTTGAAACTTTTGTTATTTCTTGATCATT